ATGATCTGTGGTTTTGTTGAACCCAGAGTGCAGACAGAGGTGGGGAGCTCAAGGATAAAATAAATATTTACTTAAAGAAACAAAAAGGCTGAGATGGCAGCAAAACTTACATGGAGGATGTGAACAAGGAGACACAGAGGAAAACAGAGCATGAACGCCTTGGGAGGACAATCCACGATGAAGGAAAATCACAGAGATCCTGAATACACTAATGAGACATAACGACAAACACCTGGAGAGCTTAGAATTTAGAACACACACACACAAAACAAATGCTTCATTTTACATCTTCCCACAGGGATGTACTTTTTATACTGTTGACACAATTGTTGGTAAAACAATGAGTATGAAAGTTTTGGTTTTCTGTTGGGACCTAATTACTTGCAAGTTTCAGTGAGATGTGTTTTTTTCTGTCTTCCAGGTTCTGCATACAGTCTACAAGGAACCAAGGCCAGCCTCAGCAGCGCTCCTGCAGGTCCCCAGGGTCTAAAGAAACATTTTGTTAGGGGCAAGCTAGACTGTGACAATCAGCAACCAGACCCTGAGCGCCTCTTCCAGCGCTGTTTCATGGCGACTGTTACATCTGCCAACATGGAGAGCCCTGCATAGAAGAAACAGTTATTACGTTTTTGTTTATCTTTAATTTTTTTTGTGATGTGCACATTCAGCATTGTTGTTTATTTATCAGAAGTGACTCCATTAATTATCTTTAAATTAAAAGCAAAGAATTATTTTAAAGAATGCATCTTTCCTGCCAACTTTGTTACAGGCGTACAGGATTTTTTTTTAAGTGCCACCAGTGCCTGTACCCATTCTGCCATTACAGATTTATGTGGAACATATCCTGTGCTATGAATAAGGTAACTTTTTGCCTCAACTGCCAGAATGTAAACAAATCACAAGAGAATGAGGGTTTATAGGAGCAGACATGCAGCTGGAGAAGAAAGATGGATTTTGTGACTGTTCTATTTTCTGCCACTGGCTATCATTTTTACTGACCTTAGGCTCATTAAACACAAAACTCAAAGCTTAAATATGCCTAAAAATCTTGATCAGTCTCAGATGTTCATGGCTGAACTATAGATTAAACAAATGAATGTGTTAAAAATAGAAAGAAAATAGCTGGTCCCTTGTTTTTAGTCTGGAGCATGCTAGTTGAAGGTCAAACTGGGCTGCGACTGGGAAGTCTGCAGAATGTCTTGCAACTTTTGAGGTGCTTCTCAATTCCCTCTTGTGATTTGCTGAGGTACAGAATCCTGTCGCTTGTGTTTTGAACATGCTCAAAAATGTGTACAGTAAGCTTTCTCTCAAAAATGGGTCAAAGTAATTCAAGGCACCTCCAACTTGTCTCCAGACAGACAGAGCTCTGTTCTGACTCCTGCACAGTTCTCTGACAGAAAACACATCCACGTCTATAAACCATGCTGATTGGTAATAAGTATTGAAAACTGATCTAAAACTGCCAATCTTTATCGTAAATGTTGGTGAGGCTGCTATGATGGGTAACAAATGAGTTGAGTTGGGCAAAGGATAGTAACCAAATATATGTTTGGCCAAGAATATACAGTGCCTTGCGAAAGTATTCGGCCCCTTTGAACTTTTCAACCTTTTGCCACATTTCAGGCTTCTAACATAAAGATCCATCCATCCATTATCTTTACCCGTTTATTCCATTTTGGGTCACGGGGGTCGCTGGTGCCCATGTCCAGCAATCACTGTGCGAGGGGTGGGGTACACCCTGGACGGGTCGCAAGTCCATCACAGGGACACATAGAGACAAACGAGACAAACAAACATTCACTCTCTCACTCACACCTAGGGACAATTTAGAGTTACCAATCAGCCTAACATGCATGTTTTTGGACTGTGCGAGGAAACCGGAGTACCCGGAGAAAACCCACGCATGCACGGAGAGAACATGCAAACTCCACCCAAGTTTGAACCAAGGACCTGCTCGCTGAGAGGCAGCAGCTCTACCAGTTGCGCCACCGTGCTGCCTTCAAACATAAAGATATGACATTTTAATTTTTTGTGAAGAATCAACAACAAGTGGGACACAATTGTGAAGTGGAATGAAATTTATTGGATGTGTCAAACTTTTTTAACAAATAAAAAACTGAAAAGTGGGGCGTGCAATATTATTCGGCCCCCTTGCGTTAATACTTTGTAGCGCCGCCTTTTGCTGCAATTCCAGCTGCAAGTCTCTTGGGGTATGTCTCTATCAGTTTTGCACATGGAGAGACTGAAATTCTGCCCATTCTTCTTGCAAAACAGCTCGAGCTCAGTGAGGTTGGATGGAGAGCGTTTGTGAACAGCAGTCTTCAGCTCTTTCCACAGATTCTCGATTGGATTCAGGTCTGGACTTTGACTTGGCCATTCCAACACCTGGATACGTTTATTTGTGAACCATTCCATTATAGATTTGGCTTTATGTTTTGGATCATTGTCTTGTTGGAAGATAAATCTCCGTCCCAGTCTCATGTCTCTTGCAGACTCAAACAGGTTTTCTTCCAGAATGGTCCTGTATTTGGCACCATCCATCTTCCCGTCAATTCTGACCATCTTCCCTGTCCCTGCTGACGAAAATCAGGCCCAAACCATGATGCTGCCACCACCATGTTTGACAATGGGGATGGTGTGTTCAGGGTGATGAGCTGTGTTGCTTTTACACCAAACATATCGTTTTGCATTGTGGCCAAACAGTTCGATTTTGGTTTCATCTGACCAGAGCACCTTCTTCCACATGTTTGGTGTGTCTCCCAGGTGCTTGTGACAAACTTTAAACAACACTTTTTATGGATATCTTTGAGAAATGGCTTTCTTCTTGCCACTCTTCCATAAAGGCCAGATTTGTGCAGTGTACGACTGATTGTTGTCCTATGGACAGACTCTCCCACCTCAGCTGTAGATCTCTGCAGTTCATCCAGAGGGATCATGGGCCTCTTGGCTGCATCTCTGATCAGTCTTCTGCTTGTTCGAGATGAAAGTTTAGAGGGACGGCCGGGTCTTGGTAGATTTGCAGTGGTCTGATACTCCTTCCATTTCAATATGATTGCTTGCACAGTGCTCCTTGGGATGTTTAAAGCTTGGGAAATATTTTGTATCCAAATCCGGCTTTAAATTTCTCCACAACAGTATCTCGGACCTGCCTGGTGTGTTCCTTGGTCTTCATGATGCTCTCTGCGCTTTGAACAGAACTCTGAGACTATCACAGAGCAGGTGCATTTATACAGAGACTTGATTACACACAGGTGGATTCTATTTATCATCATCAGTCATTTGGAACAACATTGGATCATTCATAGATCCTCACTGAACTTCTGGAATGAGTTTGCTGCACTGAAAGTAAAGGGGCCGAATAATATTGCACACCCCACTTTTCAGTTTTTTATTTGTTAAAAAAGTTTGACACATCCACTAAATTTCATTCCACTTCACGATTGTATCCCACTTGTTGTTGATTCTTCACAATAAAATAAAATTTTATATCTTTATGTTTGAAGCCTGAAATGTGGCAAAAGGTTGAAAAGTTCAAAGGGGCTGAATACTTTCGCAAGGCACTGTACACAGATTTTCTTAGATGCTAGGTTGGTAGATGGTAGGTTCTGTATTTCTGCATTTTTTTATGAAATTATGTCAAAAACATCCCAATAATACTCTAGGAAATTGTTCAACACCAAGTATTACCTGTTCATGTCTCTAAACTAAGGACAATTTTTAGTTTTTGTCCTCAGTTACTTGTGAAGTGGAAGAGGAAATGATGTCAGCAAGAATAAAAGTGGTATTGATCTGAAGTATTGGGGTGTTTTTATGAGTACAAGTACAGTCTTTACTACCAATCATCATGCTAAACACCACCTAGAGCTAACACAAAAATCGAATGTATAGGGATAGGGGTAAAAAGAATAAAAAGAGGAATGTATTAATTTATGATGTGGAAAAAATGGGATTAAAATGAGTATTTACTGTGTATTCTAACATGGTTGATTTTTCCACTCAGGAGAGTGTAGTAAAGTTACTGTGAGGTTATGAGAGCATTTGAAAAACTTATGACAAAATAAAAATAAAAAAATAAAGATTTTTGGTCTTTGTCAAGAAAAAAATGTTTATTTACTGCACCAAAATAAACTAATAACTAAATTCATAAACAAAAATAAATGGATTGAATTTGGATTAAATAGGGGTTAATTTGAGTTGACCAGTTAACCAGTTATAGACATATATTCAACATTTTATTTGAGAGTATACTGGAATCCACCCATTACTTTATTAGATATTCTGCTAACACAAAGTTGACAGTTAATCCGGAAGTTTTAGGCAAATATGTTGTACAGTCAAACTATGTGTTGATGAACAGTGCTTAGCTACTACCATATCATATTTTAGCTTAACTGAGTTATGGTCATCTTATGTTTGCTAAAGTTGGTTAGCTGTGGCAGCCATTTTGAATCTGGTTGTTTAAAATAGTTATTCAGTTGCCAGATCAGTGATTATTTTCTGAAAGTTTCACACAAGTTTGCCCAGTGGTCTTAAGATATTTTGCTAACGACACAACCAAACAAATAAACACTGGTTAGGAGTCAACATTTTTCAGTCAGGTCATCTGGACACTTTCTTTTTTTGTGCTGAAACGTTTCGCCTTCGATCCGAAAGGCTTCATCAGTCAAGGAAACACACAACAAAACTGATTCTTCCCCCAACATCTTACTCCAAAGTGGAACAAACCAGTTTTGTTGGTGCTAAGATGGTTTCTTTGGTACGCCCCCTCCTCCATTGCTGGCACTCTTCCTTGTTGACAGTCTTGTCAAACTGGTTGAAAACAACAAAGTCCATGCTCAATAATCCAGGTATACAATCCAACATTTTTCAGTCAAGTCATCTGTTAGGATTCTACAGTTCTGTCTCCTGATGGCTGATTACTTCAGTACTTAAGAATGAATGAAACCCTGACCCTTTGCTGGGTTGTTGATTGAAATTGGTGATTATCTGACAGCCCCTGCTCAACAGTCCTTTTTCCTTGAGAGAAATTAATATTGTTGTTTTACTTACCTGTGTATTTGCAGCCTCCTGTTGGCTCCCTGCTGACACCTGTGATCAACTTCTCATGTGGAACTCATCGTCTCCTGAATGGACCAAAGAAACTAGATTAATCTTACTCACTTTACTTTCTATCTCTCAGCATGGAGCCTTCACCTCAAAGCACCTTCTGAGCCTCAAATCCTCTCTGTCACTCCCCAAAGACAACTCAAATACACTATTATATTCTAAAGAGACAAACAACATGAAAATACCTGAACTCACCTCTCACTGTCCTCCACAGATCCTTCAGTTCCCGGTCTCCCCACTCCGGTGTAAAAACAAAAAAACTACTTACCTTTTTCTAACAAGGTTAAGTCAGGTCCTCTGGATGGATTCCTCTTTGTTGAAATGTTTTATCCAAAAGACTAAATCAGTCTCTTTACCTAGATTTTTACTCACGTTCCCTGACTCTCTTGGTAGCTTCTGAAATCTTCTCTTTAATAAACTATTTAGTGTAAATGTGACACACACTCACAAGCATAATTGCAGAGAGCACTAAAATGTTTCCATAATGAAACCTATAGTTATTATGGCTATGGTTATTATAGCTCTTGATGGGGGACAAAATGAAACGTTTCTCACTTAAACAACCTGGTCCAGATGACACGATTCAATCTTTTGTGTTGCTATAGATCTATTTTCCTTAACGACCTTAATCCACATATGCAAGAGTTCAGGTTTTAGGAGGTTAAAAATGTAAATGAATCAAAATCTAATTCCGTGATTCAGCACAGAATTGACCAAATTAACCATGAAAAATCTTGTGACATTCTCTATCAGTCCCAGTAAAGGTTATTCGCTTGGTACCCAGATAAAATTGAACGGTGAATTGTGAGCGCACTGTTCTCTGCTTTGTGTTGAAGAAAGGCCTCGCAGAGCTACTGGAGTCGCTGCTTTAAAAAGGAAACATCCCCAGAAAGATGCTGCATTCAAATTCTGAGAAAAGGAAAGTAATGGGAGCGTGACTCAATTATCCTGTGGTGGAAATTTAACATTTCCTGGAAAAATTATCCACTTGTGTCTTTGCTTGTTTTTACTCTTTCACATTTTATTCTGCAGCTGTCTCATCTGCTCCTGCCACAGTCAAGGCTGATGGCTCTTTAGAGTGTCAGATCACAAAAGTCCCTCATGCATTGCATTTGCTTTTAGTTGTGAAACAGAAAAACATTTGAGCCTTTATATGAATATCACCCTTGTCTTTCACGACTGCAGATGATGAAAAGTTAGATTTATGTAATGCACTTGTTTTTGCTTTATGTCATGTCATGCCTGTATATATGTGTGTGTGTGCGTGTGTTTGTTTTCTGCAACCTATTTTAGGACTTTCTAGCATGTGTTTGTGCCTGTTTTTGTCTCAATTACCTCACAAACCACAGAGCATATTTCAATTTAATTTAGAATGTAATTAAAGGTCTAGTATTCCTTGACTGAATGCATATCACCCACTGCTGTTTGTGCTAGAGTTTGAGACTGAGTAGCAATGACAGCGTTGTAATATCGCTCTTTCTTGGGCTATAATTATTGTGTTCATCTGCTGCTGAATACATCTTTAAAACAACTTGTCCCAAGATGGACGCCACCTCAGAAAAAAGGTTTTACTTGAGTCCATTTTACAAATATGTGACTAAAGTTGAATGTGGACATAGTTGAGAGTCATCCCCATCATAAGGCCAGGATATATCATGAGGGCAACCTGAACAAGTGCCTAGGGTCCCTTAATGCAGAGGGGGCCCTTAGTACTCAGTGCAAAAATCTATACTAAGAGTAGAACTGTGCAATTAAATTAATATGCTAGGAAATACTCACAGAGAGTTCCACTCTGCTGCTCAGAAATAACATTTAACACCAAGAAGAACGTTTAAAATATGTTTCCTGTCTAAACGAAGCATATACAGTATATAAGTATATACAGTTTTACAGGGATGTCGTTTTTAAACAGGAAGTCGGTCTCAGCAGTTCTTCCTTTGATTTTATCTTCAAATGGTGTCCCTATTGAGTTTGTCGATTCTTACAAATACTTGGGTATCTTGGTCGATTTGCATCTCTCTTTTAAGCCTCATGTTGAAAACTTGGTAAAGAAGTTGAAAGTAAAACTAGGTTTCTTTTTCAGACATAGATCCTGTCTAACGCTGAATGCTCGAAACACCTTGTAACTGCGACTTTCCTTCCCTCCACTGACTACGGTAACATTATTTACATGAATGCTCCTACAAGCACCCTGCAGATGTTGGAAGCTGTCTATCATGGTGTGCTAAGATTTATAACTGGCTGTAACTACCGTACCCATCATTGCACCCTGTATTCACTGGTTAACTGGTCATCATTAACTTCCTGCAGACTCTCACACATTTTTATCTTTAAATCACTTCTTGGTCTGCTTCCTTCTCACATCCCCTCCTACATGTCACTGTGTGAGTGCAGCTACAGCGTGCGCCCTCAGGACATTATTACCTGCAGTGTACCCTCAATGTGGACTGAACTTGGCAAAAGGGCCTTCTCCTACTCCGCTCCTGTTTCCTGGAACACCTTGCAAAAAGACCTGAAGCTCTTGACCTTGACCTCTCTAAGTGGCTTCAAACATCTGCTAAGTTCATGGTAAAAAGCAACACAGACATGTTCCTGTTTTTGGCATTTTATATCACTTTATAATGTAGCTGTTTTTTAATATAATTTTCTTCCGTTTATGTTTCAATTTACAAGCATTTTTTATGATTGTCTACTCATCATTCTTTGTTTAAAACAGGTCTCTCTTGTAAATGAGTCCTCGAGGCTCAGTGAGACTAACCTGTATATATAAAGGTTGAATTAATTAAAAAGTAGACACACTGGACTTAACAGAATTCAGAAACATGGTTCAGGTCAGTGTGCGCACTGTGGAATAGAAACAATAGAACATGCCATTTTGGTTTGTCAGAAATCTGAACATCACAGAAGACATGGTAAAAAAAAAAAAAGTAAAATCAAAGAAACATTTAATATAATAAACATATTGCAGTATGAAACGAGAAGTAAAAGTATTCAAATTATTTTACTTTTTTTTAGAATCACAAAGTTAGTAAAGAGAATATTAAGCACACGTTGTAATTCACACTCCACGCCAGTAGGTGGCGGTAGAGCACACCCCCCGTCGTTTGCCAACCGCCATAAAACAGCATCAAGGGGAAAAAAAAAACTAAACGACGAAGAAGAAAAAGAAAAAGAAGAAGAAACGGTTATGTGATGTCAACTTTCAGAGGAGGGTAAATAGTAAAGAAATGTGGAACCGAAGCGGTCGGAGCTCGGCTCTGGACCGAGCTGAGGCGTTGCTGTCGGCCAAGAGGAGAAAAGGAGACGGACGGAGCTCCACACTGCTGGACGGCTCGGCCAAAACACAGGTAGTCCGGTTCGTTGATGCTCCCTCACTGATGGAGAAAGGTGAAAATGTAGTGAAAAAGCACGAACACAACTTTAGGTGAATTTAAATAATTTCTGAGCCTAAATGAGTACGTATTTTCGTCACAACAATATTTTATGGTATTCCTTGTCGCTACAGGACGAGCGGTGAGAAGTTTGATTCTTTTTTTAAAGAGTCGAGTTTAAATGAAAAGCCAAAAGGAATTGGAAGTTTTGGTTCGTTTGAGTCATCGAGTCACTTGTTCACACACAAGTTCCAATCCTGACAAATTCACGCCACCAATAACACCACTGATTTGAATTAGGAAATTTAAACTATTTCATTGTAGAAAAACAAAAGAGTAAAAGACCACTGATTCCCAAATGAGATTTCTTTTTTTTTGCTATAAAAATAAGAGCTCCCCCAACACACTCACTGCCCTGCTGTGTGCAAGAAATAAATCACTTGTGGTGCTTTGCCACTGTCTCAACTCTCCTCAGCTCCACACCGCACCAGTTAAAGGCCTCTCCACTATCGGTACCCACCCACACTCAGCTCAATTTATGGGACCACCTTGTACGGGGTTCCAAGCGGGCTGGTCCGAGGGGACGATTTTGACGTAAGCAGACAGCAGCCATTGATTGGACAGCAGAGCTCCAACATTGAATGACCTGCGCATCAAAACTGTTAACTACATCTGAACCTCCATTCCGCATCATGTTGATGGGTGGCTTTTCAAGAAATGAACACATTTACAGAGAGATATCAGAGATCATGGTGCAGCATCGCTACACCCAGACTTGCAAGCTGTGCCGAGATAAGCTAAAAACAATTCCAAGTCTGATTATAGAACGATTAAGGATCACAACGGGCGGAATGACTCAAACACACAAAGACTAGTTACGATCCTGGCAACTTTGCTTTGACATTCCCACCCACCAAACAGGGAAATGTGTCAGCCTCCACTGTAGTGGCAAATCACCTCCACCTGAGGAGAGCCGAGTGGAGCCGCACTTACCAATGGCAAAGTGGTATTAGATGTATTTATCTGTGAGTACGAATCAAATGAGTCCTGACTCGCTTGTTAGAATCAGAAATTATGACTCCCAACTCAAACAAGTGTATCGGGACAGCGAGTCACGAGTTGTGGAGCCATGGAGCAAGTTACTTGGGCCTACACGTGTCCAATGACCACAAAGACAGCCAGCATCATCAAGAAGGTTCACCAACGGTTCTATTTTGAGGAGGCTGAAACGTGCTGCTCTCAATTATGTGCTGAACGCGTTCTGACTTCATGCCAACAATACAAGTGAAGAAAATGTTCAAATATTTCCGTTTTGAATTTATATGGCGAACAGGTAATAAAAATTGAGTTAAAAGATTAGAAAAGATCAGACAGTGTAAGTTGTGTAAATAAATTTGTGCAGAAAGTTATGTGTTCAAACTGGTTCTTTGCAGGGGTCCTTGGTTGGGTCCTTCAAAACGAGATCAGCTCTCCCAAACACCCACACTTGGTTCTCCGATGTGCCTGATCTGTCCTCAGACAGCACAGCCTCTGCACATGGAGCTGAAGACGACAGAGCTGCTGAGGCTAAAGAACAACATGGAACAAAGACGGAGTCGAGCAAGGTGAAAGTTTTAACAGGACGGAATTATGTGGGTGGCCGATGTATAATAATACTATGCACAATAATTCAGTCAGTTTTACAGATATTATGCCAAGCTTTGATGTGGTAGTAGTTGGCAGTCTCACAACACATAAGTGTGACATTTCACAAAAGACTATTTTCAATTTTAGCAGCAATTTATTATTTATTTTTTTTACAATGTGACATTTCACAAAAGACTATTTTCAATTTTAGCAGCAATTTATTATTTATTTTTTTTACAAACATCAACATGCATTGATCAACTATGAGAAGGTGCTATTTATAAGACTGAGCTGAATGCAGCTCCTCAGACTGAAGAAGTCTTTCGGATGAAAGACGAAACGTTTCTACAGTTTTTTGTTTTTTGAACCCGTCCAGAGGACCTGACTTAACTTTTTTAGATTTTTCTTTCTGGATTATTGAGCATGCATAAGGATAGGTTGCTGAGAACTTTGTATGTTAGAAGTAAGATTTTAAATTCAATCAATTACAAAATTTGATCCAAATTAAAAAAGAAAAGTCCAAATCAATTCCAAAATAATTATCAGCTGCTTGTTGCTCTGAAAGTTTAATTGAATTTAAACTTTGACTTGATTCTGTTTATCAGGATATCAGGCCACAGCGTTCACCAGGAGGAGGGAGCAAGTTCTTAAAGAAGGCTCCAAAACCAACTGAAAGCAGCCGATCACCTGTCAGCAGGAACCAAACGCATCAGAGACTAGAACCAAGGTAATGTTCTCTTTGTAGGACAAATACAAGTACAAGGAAAACTGCTTTCTGTCAAAATGCAGCGTGACCATTGAGGGCAGAATGACTGCGGACATTTGCAAAAGAACTGAAAACTAAGTTGTTCAGGATAAAATAAATGGAGCACTAGCTAAAACCCAAAAGGAGCAGGATAGTAGCTAAAAGTCAGAAAGACCAAAGTACTTGCTTAAAGCTAAAATATGCAAAACACAAGCTAAAGTATCACAATGCAAGCAAAAAGTTATAAAGTACCAAAAGGCTAGCTAAAATGTAAAGTCACAAAAGGGCTAAGAGTATCAAAAAGCTAGCTAAAAGCTGAAAGTTATAACACTAATACCTAAATTAGCAAAGTACCATACTAGCTAAAAGTATCACAAGGCTAGCAAATAAATTTTAAAGGCTAATTAAAAGTTAAAAGTAGCAAATTCTGGCGAAAAGGTAAAAGCAATAAAAAGTTAGCTAAACTTTAGGAGTAAAATGGTAGCTAGAAACTAAAGTAGCAAAAGGCTATCTTACTTTTAAAGTAGCTTAAGTGTATAGGTAGTACAAGTTAAGTATTAAAAAGCTAACTAGAAACTACAAATAGCAAAAATTCTAGTTAGAAGCTAATAGTAGTAATCAGCTAAAGGCTAAAGTAGCAAAATTCTAGCTAAAAGAATCAGCAGGCTAGCTAAGGATATCAACAGACTTACTATGGTAGGAGGTAAAAGTAGCAAAATGCTGGCTAATAGTAGCATAAGAGAAAATCTGTTTTTAATAAATTGAAGAGTTCAACATATTTCTAATGAGAAATAATTTGTAAGAAGTTTTTTTCTTTTTTTTTAATAAATAAATAAAGTTACACAAACCAAGTCATAGCACCCATAAAAGTAAAGTGTGTAGAAGTAGTTAGATTGCAAATTATAAAAGGAATCTGTTGTCACAAAACTTAAGCGAAATAATAATCCAGAAAGGAAATGAGCTGATTTCTACCACCAAATCTTCCACTTTTGTCCTTGGGTTCAGTGAAATTCCTTCTAACAACAATAATAATTAGAAGTAAAATGTCTCCTTGTTCCCCTCTTTCCACCTCTCCTGTCAGATACACGTCATCTTTGATCGGCGGCTCTCAGGCTGCAGCTTTGAACAGACTCTCTGAAATTGAGAAACATGTCAGTAGACACAAGCAGATCCTTGAAGAGACTCGACAGCCCATAAAAGCTGCTCCAAATCTGGCCTCAGAGTCGAGAATGTTGGAAACCGCAGCCACCACATCCACAGAGGCCTCTGAGCAGCTGTCGGCACACTCCAGCAGTGACCAGAGCCAGAAGAAGAGGTTCCTCAAAAAGAAAGCTGCTGAATGCACCAACCCTGCTGCAGCAGCCCTCATCAGCTCTGATGGCGGTGGACTGTCCAGAACCAGATCTACTTATCCTGTGGTCTTGAAAACGAAGTCTGTAAGAGTAAAGAGTGCTGTGAGTCTGGAAAGTGATGAAGAAGACATGAAGATACTGCTTGGAGACTCAGTAGATTCAACGGACGGCAGAACCTCTGGATCAAAGAGAACACTGCCTAAAAAGGTTGGCTACTAATGTAAAGTTTTTTTTGTTTGTTTTTTTAACCATATTTCAGATTTTTTTGTGTAAATTGAGGATAGTTTTTGTCTATTTGTGTGTTAGCAAAATGTCTCGTGAACCGAAACCACTAACCTTCACCCTTTTCAGCAGTCATCCATCACTCAGCAGTTCACACTGTATCTTTACAGATGATGCTAAAGGCTGAAGTTATCTTTAGATGTACCTCAACAACTGACTAGTGTTACGTCCTGGCTCATTGTGGATGCAACATGATTAATTCAACCTGTAATTATACAGGCTAGTCTCATTGAGCCACGAGGACTTATTTACAAGAGAGACCTGTTCCAGACAGAACGTATATATAGTACAGACAACAATAACAATAAACTACAGTAAAAATGCAGTTAAAATAAAAGTAGTGTTATAAAACAATAAATCAGGGTGCCTTAAAGCACTAGGTGCCATTTAGGGAGTGGTGGTGCAGTGCTTAGAGAAGGTGGACCTGTGACCGGAAGATGGCTGTTTCAACTGGTACTGACAACATCAAAATATGGGTGGGACTGGTGAAGCACCCACACCTGCCTCCACCCTCATTTGCCCCACTCTGGGCATTGAGCAAGGTTCTTAACCCCCACCATCTGCTCCCCTGGGCGTCCTAGATAGCAGCTCTCTGCTCCACACAAAGGGCTGTGGTTGCTTCAGAAAGGGCATCCGGTGTAAAACGTAATCTCCAAGTCTTGGTGCGACTTAGTTCACTGTGGAGACCCCTGAAGAAGGGAGCAGCCGAAAGAAGAAAAATAAATAAATCAAGGACAAACCCCAAAATAAAAAAAAAAGTGACAATTTATTTTTACTGTCTGATTACAAGGCAACAAAACACGGCAATAACGTGCATTCTTTGCAACAATGAACTGAAAACAGCAATAATAACGTCTCTTCTGAAAAATAAACCAATAGAGGACAAAAGTAAAAAATCCAAAAGAAAGTACACAATCCCAACTAACAAAGATCAGAAACTAAAATAAGTGGCTCAACCATGACAGTGAAATCTCTCCAAACAAAGTGTCTTGGCTACACAAGTCACAACATAACAGATCCAGAAAACAAGACGACCTCAGAAACCACAGTTCAGCACAACGACTGTGCACCGTGCACATGAAGCACGGCTGCACTGACTGAAGGGTAGGGCTGGCTTTTAAAATCTCCCTCTCATTCATCTGGCCTCCTCGTTGGCAGCCACTGTTGGATGGTGCTGTCCAGTCTCCTCCCAATCATCTTTGGACTGGTAAGCCTTGGTTTGGAGTCCACCAGTAGAGGGAGACAGCCAACCTGCAGCTGGAGTTGAACTACCGGGAGGAAACTCCTCACATGGAAAGGCAGGACAGTAACACTATAATGTCCGTTTCTCAGCACTAGCTGGTCCTGGTCTAGAAGTCGAGCATCAAAGGTGGAGGGTGATATGCATTCCTTCAACTGATGCTTAGCATGATTATTTAAATGCTCATAAATAAAGAATATTGACCTTCAGGACTTTATAGTTTTAGACAGACTAAAAACCAGAAGACAGTTCCTGTCAGGTGAACAGAAACTGTTTTGTGGATCAAAACATGATTTTTCTTTGTGTTCCTACAGGAGCTAAACAGTCCCAGTCAGAGGGTTCAAAGTCCAGGTCCTGCTACAGCTGGCCACCCTGACACATCACCACCTCCCTCCACTGCCTCTCCTTCACGTCCCAGTTCTCCTTTTCGATTCGCAGGCCAGGCCCAGGTCCACTTCAGCCCCACTGTGCGCTCCCCATCACCCTCTCCTCTCCAGGTCTCCCCTTCACTTTCAAAAGGGACGAGCTCTCCTCTTCAAGCGGGGAGTCCACACGAGTCCTTGTTGTTTTTGTCAGGACAGGGAGAGGTGTTTTCTCTGGAGGAGCTCGACCCGGCGAGGCCTGCCTCCGAGGATACGCTCAGTCAGATGGGCTCGGTTTCTTCAGAAGGTGAGAGGTTCATAGGTGTTCAGTAATAAAGCTGACCAGATCAGTAAGAGTTAGCCGTTTGTCAACACAACTGTCTAAAGATTACATCTTCAGATTTCAGACTGTTCTGCTCGTTCAGGACAAGACGGCTACGACCTATTGATTTTTGTAACTTTGATCTTTTTTATACGCCTGTCAAAGGTGAACGTATTGTGGTTTAGTCCGTTTCTGATCCGCTCGATAATTTAATGAAATTTGATACACTTATGCATCATCACTAGACATAGTGTCACTTATGCTTTTTATCACTCAGCTTCAGCGTCAAAGGTTGCACAAGGCCTTTGCTTGTTCAGTAGATTGTTGTATAATATCTTTATGAGTCTTTGTCTTTCCATTATTTAGCTTTTTCTGACCATCATGCTCGTTGTTTGTCTTCTTTAAATGTTTCAACAGCGAAAGTTCAACCATTCTTCCACTAACCTTCACCCTTTTCAGCAGTCATCCATCACTCAGCATTCACACTGTATCTTTACAGATGATACTAATTTTCTAGTTATGTTAATGCTATTTTTTGTCATAAATCAACAAAAGGCCCACCAAGTAGATCTTCCTCTCCAAAGGTTGAATGGAAATTGCAAACAGTATTCGCTTCTCATCACAAGTTCTTAACAAGCCTGGTTAATGTTGAAACTAGAGTTGTCCCGGCCTAATCGCAACTATCAGATCACAGTTTCATTCAAAGCATTTTTCATTCAAATCAACATCAGAATATCTGTCACATTGTTCCCTTCTGTGGAGTGAAGTAGGGGAATTAGAAAAACCCTCCATCAGTCCATCCGTGCACGTTGTGAGCATGAAAACATAAAAAAGTGGAACAAGTGAGCTTCTTTTTTGGTGTGTGGGTACATCTAGGTGTAAAAAAGGGTCCTTTCAATAATTGGGTTGTTATGTCAAAATCCAAGATGGCTGCCACTATAAATGTCCATCTGTGTTGTGAACATGTGTTGAAAATTAGAGACATTTTGCTAACACAAATGGTTTTAATGGTGGGTGGAATAGAATGATGGGTGTCTGCAGTTGAGACTTTGTGTTGTTGGAAGCAGATGGCAAAATGGAGTGAACACTTTAATTAGAACAGATTTGTCTTGATTTATTTTGATCAACATAAGTTTATTTTTTTACTGAGCATGTTTCCTGATCTTTCTTTTTCCTCGGACTTTAACATCAACTTAATGACACTAGACGAGCCCCTTGCTGCACGTGCTGCCTTCACTTCAGAAACATTTGGAAATAAGGTAAGAAATGATATAAAATCTGTTTTAATCATATATCAAACTATCTCAACAAATAAGGAAACAAAAAAAAAAAAGTATTTTAAAATTAATAGTCCAACATGCAAAGTGAGAGAACCGTAGGATGGTGCAGTAAAACTGCGGAACCTCGGTCCAGTTTAAAATGGCTGCCACAGCCAACAGCTTTTAGTTGATTTTGATATTTAGCTGAAATTATGTGTAGTAGTTGAGTCATTCGTGAGGCATACTCAGTTCTTGTGTGCATGATCTTTGCTTAAACATTTTGCATAAAATATTGGCATCAACCTGGTCTGTTAGCAAAATATTTCATGAACCGGTGGATGAATTTTAATCAAACTATCAGAATGTCATTAGTGGATGATCGACAGCTGATTAACATTTGGATTCAATACAAGATGGCCACCACAGCTAAATAACATTACCAAACACCGATATGGCCAACTCATTCAACTGAACATAAACTGAAGTAAAACTTGTGGTTGTAGCGGAGTCATACTCTTGAGAGTGATATCTGCTACATTTCCATAATTTCTTCACTTATGATGATCTTATCTGGTGTGGAAGGTGGCGGGTGATATTCATTCTTTCAAGGAATGCTAGGCCTTTACCTCCTAAAGTGAAGAGGGATCAGTGGAAGGTCTCAGTCTGTCCTCGGAGATTCACATGAAGCACAATAAGGGATTGGTGCATTCTGCTAAGCACACTTGTTTATAAAATGCCTGGCTTGCATGAAGTTGTAACTGATGTTGTTCTTGTGTTCCTGCAGCCGAGTCCGAGCAAACATGTCCGCCCTGTTTCTGGATCACAACCTGAACACCAGCAGGAGGAGCAGGGGGAGGACATGCTGCACTACCAAAGTGATTTTGAGAGTGATTCCAGCATCGGGGAGGTTTCAGAGCACACACGAGGGGATGGAGATGAAGACGAGGTGCCGTCAGAGGTTGCGTCTCCTTCAGATGGATCTCAGGAAAGAACCAAAGACGATCATACTGTATCAGACTCGAGCTGCTCCAGCTTTTCACAGACCTCAAATCACAATCACAGGAAGTCCCGCTTCCATCGCCCATCAAGGACTCCGACTTCAGCCAGGAAGGCTTTAAAAGACGCAGCTTCCCAGACTCAGCCTGCTCCACCAGCTCACTCTGGTTAGTCAGATCCATCTTCAACACTTTCTGTCATGCTGCTGTGGAAAATACTGTTTCCTTACAGAGTTCTGCTTTTACTTTATTGTCACTCGTCTGTGACCTCTGCCAGCAAGATGTCACACTGAGGAACTTCTCAGAATTTATTATTTTAAATAATTCATAGTTTGTGGAAATTTAGCAGGAGATTCATCACCTAGTTGGCAAAAAGCTAGGTTTGGTTAAGAATGCTGGTTTGAAAACCCAATGTTTTTAACATCATCTGATATTGTAGCTCTACATTTAACGAGATGAATCCAAACATTTTCAATGATGCCAATTAGACATAAAAACAATTCTTTCTGAAGACATAGCTGTTAAAAAACTTTGACTCAAAGGCAGATTAGGAAGAATATATGCTATTGTAATTACTGTACTGATGTAGATGGATGGAGTCTTTATGGACTAATTTTTATGTAAATCTCAACAACAAAAATCAAAGTTTTCAGTTTTTACACTTCAGTCTGAACTCATTCTGACTCATTTAATCAGCTTGGGTCACAAATGTTTCACATCCTCTACGAATGTTAATATCAGACAAAAATATTCTAATAAATGCAGTTTTCAAATATGATTTTATTTATTGGGGGAAAGAGCGATCCAAACCAACTTGGACACATATGAAACAGGATTTCCAGTGACTCTGGATAAACCAGGAAAATGACTTTCACATTTTCCAGACAGGGAAGACTCAGGAAAATTGATCTGCTGATGAAAATATGAACTTCTTGAGAGTTAGACGAGCATTTGTACTAATGCTAGTATTCTAGTATTGTATCTGTGGTGGCTGTTTAGTATCTGATGTTATACAACACAATTATTTTAGTGGTAATGATTGTCATGTGTAGGCTACAGTATACTTCCTGTCATCTCTGAATGTGACTCTGCCCGTCACATAAGACACGGAGTTCTGAGCGTTTGTGTAACTTAAATCCATCCATCCATTATCTTTTACCCGCTTCTTCCATTTTGGGTCGCGGGACTGAGATGGTTTGGACATGTCCAGAGGAGGGACAGTGGGTATATTGGTAGAAGGATGTTAGAAATGCAGCTGCCAGGAAACAGACAGATGATATTTATGGATGCTGTAAGAATTTAGGGAGACCTCAACGGTCTTATTACAATTTTGCATTGCCAACTGATCTCCAACGATCCCAGCCTGGTGAGATATGACGTTAAGGATTCAAGCTGATCTGAGAAACACATTGATAGGACAGTGCCATCTGTTTCTGACCCACAGCTCGTCTTTCTCCAGGTGCGGCTACTCTGGACCTTGCGTTGAGCCAGCTCTACCTGACCCCCCCATCTGTGGTCACTCACACCATCAGTCCAGAGAGACTGGAAGGTACAAGTCCCAGAAATCTAGAACATATTAAACCATCCCCTCACCTTAGGATTAATTTACCGACAACAGAACAGTGTTTTAAAACAACTTAACCACCTTTATTAAAACTTTCAATAAATAATCACTGGGTGTACATCTACAACTAAATGAGCCCAATTTAAAATGGCCACCACAGCTAAAGGAAATCAATCATAATTGGATATTGAGCATTGGTGTGATGGTAGCTGAGTCATTTACAACAAATACTTTGAGGGCTAACACATCTCGTGAGATCAGGCCACACAAAAAAGGTTAAATCATGTCATCTGGACCAGTTTCTTTAAGGGAGAAACGTTTCGTCTTCCATCCGGAGGACTTCATCAGTCGGTGGCCTGCCAACCAGATCTGTCCCAGAAGTAGCCTTCATTGCTGTGTTTCAAGCCAACCTCCTGTTGGAATCTCAGAAGCAGGCTTTTAACACATGCAAAAGGACCCATCTGTCCAAAACAATCAGTCATCATGTATAGCAATCAATGTTAAAGCCAGATGCCCTAGTTGCTACTCACAGAAACAGCCTGAGGACACCAAGGTCAAAATGGTTCCAAACAAAGGTTTGTAAGCTCAGTCATCCAGGTAGATAACAAAAGAAGGTTAAATCATGTCATCTGGACCAGTTTCGTTAATGGAGAAATGTTTAATCTTCCATCCGGAGGACTTCATCAGTTTGTGGCCTGCCAACCAGAGGCTACTCATGGGACAGATCTGGTTGACAAGTCATAGACTGATGAAGTCCTCCGGATGGAAGATGAAACATTTCTCCCTTAAAGAAACTGGTCCAGATGTCATGATTTAACCTTCTTTTGTTATCTACCTGGATGACTGAGCCTACAAACCTTTTTTTTAAATCAGCTCACACCGTTTAAACCAGATGTTTACATACACCGTCTAAAAGGCATAACTAGTTTTTTTTTTCTTCTCTGACATTAAATCAGACTACACACCTGTTCTGGTTTTGGTCAGCTAGGAAACCCCAAATTATTTCTATTTGCAAAATGCTCCATTATTGAACCTTTTTTACTACCGTACTTTCTTTAAAGTCACATGTTTAAATGGAAACATTTTTTTGAGAGTCCAGATGATGTCATGGCTTTGAAAACTCTATTGGTTTTTATTGGTACTAAACGTTTATGTAAACGTGACTTTGAAGAAAGTAATGAAAATCTTCTCAGTATTTGCAAATTTAGTTACAAGATTTCCAAAGATATTTGTAACTGACCTAAGACAAAAAAGGTTTAATCTGATTTAATGCCGGTGGCTAAAAATGGTTCTGTCGTTTTATAGTGTGTGTAAACATCTGGTCTCAGGTGTGTATATAATTAGCACTACTGTAGCCTATGAATTGTTGCTCATTTGCTATAAAACCATCCAAATTGTAGAAGTTATTTGCATTTGATAACTGCTGTCATTGTGTTGACATGTTCTTAATTTATTTGTCAGCTCTCAGCAGCTTCAGTCCAGTTCTGTTAGCTCTGAATGAAATGCTGAAACAACAGCTGAACATGACGAGGAGGGTGATCAACCAAAGTGACCACCTTCACTCCCGTCTGCTGCAAAGCCTGGACCCTCCAAACTACAAGTACACCACCCTGGAGGACACCATCCAGGTAATTCACACCAATACGAACACTTGTGACGTCAACATCTTCAGATGCTCATGGTGAGTTTTTCAGATCTGGTTTAGAAATGTTGCTAACTTCATACATCTAAGTGAGGGCTTTATTTTTATGTTTAGCCTGGACTATATAACAGAGTTAGCTGGAACTTTTCAATATTTATTCAGAGGTTTTCTATATATTATAAATCGCTGTCAAAGGAAAAGAAAGGTGGAACCAAAACGTTTCATTTTCATAATCGTTTTATTTCTTTTACATTACTTGGAGCTGAACAGGTGACATTTATGTCAGTTAAGTCCATTGATCTTAAAACTTATTCCCCCCCACTTTTTCTATAAAACCAAATAAAATGTATACTGTTTCTGCAGAATTTCCACAGGCACAGAACCCACAAACCTTGACTGTGGAACGACTTGGAGATGTTCGAGCAGATGAGGGACGGACAGCCGCTGCAGAGAACGACTCGTGTAAGAAGCAGATTCTGTTTGAGCCTTTATATTAAAAGAAACAACTTTCTACAACCAAGTGAATCACTTGATGTGTTTATATAATGTCACTGTTTTAGATCTTATGGCACTGTTCTAAGTGCACTTTGCTCCACACTTCCAGCTTATTTTTAGAATGTAAAAAGATGTGATTTTAATCAACTAGACTTAGATATACATTCATTATGATCTTTAACATCTCATTCACTATCGGATTACAAAAAAGAATATGAAGACGTACTACAGGTGCATCTCAAAAAATTAAATATTGTGATTTTTTTCTTTTCTCATGTCATTCACTTCAGAAAGTTAAACTCATAATAAATGAATTCATTAAATATTTCAAGTCTTTACTTCATGTAATTGTGATGATGATGGCTTATAACTGATGAAAAAACAAATTCATGTGTCTCAGAAAATTTAAATATTCCACAGCCAACTTTTGTTACCTAAAACCTCCCCCTGGTGGCTGGCTGTGCTACATGTTTTAAGCCCTGCCCCTCCATGTAAACCAGGGGTGGGCAACCTTTTTTTCCAGTTAGCTAAACTGGAAAATTACAGAAATTTGGAAAATAAGTTTTCTTTAAGACTGATAATCAAAGGGTTTTTTTTTTCAGGCTTTGTGTAAACAGTCTCTTGTGACAATACATTAGTTATATGTATATTAACATCGCAACAACTTTAAACAATAAGTTGTATGCAATCTTAATCCAAAGGGTTTTTATGTATTTGTATTGAAGATGATTAATTTGGACTTCCTTAAGTTTCATTGAAAAACTGCTGGTGCTCAACTTATTTAAAAGTTGTATTTTCACTTAAGGACATTGGGGGGCTGGATGGTGATTGCCCGCGGGCCACTTTTGGCCCATATGTTGCCCATGTCTGATGTAAACAAATGGCACATTTTCTAGACAAAAATAAAAACACTCCAAAAAATAAAAGCTGTGTTGATTCACATATTGTATGTCCAAATATATATTTATAAAGTGTAATAGTTTGAGGCTTAAAGAGAAGTGTCATGTTACCCTGGATAAGAGTCTCAGCCCTAATCAAGTCGACCCGGCATGGGTTCAGTCTTTCCATTGGGTGGTCCCACCCACTGTCAGCTGTTCTTAGAACCTACTGGGCCCAGGTTTCAGTTTGAGTCCCGTCAAGCTGGCGTCAGCAGACTGCAGGTCACCGATTGGCCAGAGGACGACGTCAATGATGAGAGCATCTCCTTCCCAAGAATCAACCCCACAGTTTTTCAAAACTCGCAAATGCAGCATTAATTTTTATTTAAAAAAAAAAAGAAAGATAAAATCTGGATTTGGACTCAGAAATTATATTAACATAACTCCAGTTAAGGTGGCTAAACATTTCATTGTTGGAAAAATACACGTCAAACTCCTGCTTTGTAAGGAATTTAAAAGGATCAACTAACTGACTTGTCTTATTTTGTGCTGACTGTGAGTCCAAGGTGTTAGATTGGATAGACAGAGGTTAATGAGATATATTAGTGAATCTGATAATCTGAGGAAATCTATCCAGTCAAAATAAAACTTAATACCAGACATTACGAAGTAACTCTGATTGTATATCAGGTTAAAAAACAGCTGAGTAGTTCAGCGTATGTAACCATGGTGACAAGAACCACAGATTCACTTACATTTTGTCCTGGAACAGATAGCATCAGTCGTTCTTGAACACCCCCTTGCTCTGCAGTGCACGTACAGGACAGTTCAAGGATTGGGCGGTTAAATAACGCCTCCTTAATTAGAAGTTGAAAAATGTTTATTTAAAAAGAACACGTATGATTACAGTCACACATTACACTCAACAAGTGCAGGCTTGGACAAACTTCAAGAACATTGATCAGAAGTGTGTAGAGTAGACTGAAGGCACAAACTCGGGCTCTGCGTGGAGTCGTCAGTAGGGCTCATTAAAGGGGTAGTAACAATGTCCTGCGTCCCTGGGAACACGCTTTCCCTCCACCTGCAACATCCAGAACCAAAAATCAGTGCATTTCTCTGCCGGTCTGTTGCTCAGCTACACCTGTGGCCAAACGTTTAGAGAATGACGCAAATATGGACTAATGCAGTTTGCTGCCTCCGTTTTTCTGATGGTAATTTGCATAAACTCCAGAATATGGAGGAGAGATCAGATGGAAACCATTTCTGCTGCTTTTCAACCACAAAAGGGCTTTATTTCAGTCATCTGTTAACTCAGGTGACAGTTGTTGGACAAGCTCATGCTCCGTTGGAAAGAAAACCATGTCTTAACAGAAGTGTGTTCCTTGAAATCGCTGCTCTTCCGCAAGTAACCATGGTTACCTGCAAGGAAACTACTACAACTACTGCTTGGCACAAAAAGGGCTTCACGTGCAACAAGACAAGAAGATGGCAGCTGAAATGGGCCGTTTATCAGATCATAAAGAACTTTATATAAAAGAGGTTGAGTCGTTGTGAAGAAGGATTCAAGGCATCCAAGAGAGTCCAGCGAGTGCCAGGACCGTCTCTGAAAGTTTATTCAGCTGCAGACTGGGACACAACCAGTGCAGAGGCTGCTCAGCAGTGACAGCAGGCTGGTGTGACGAAATGTGCACGCACAGCAGGGCAAGAAGGGTTCTTCTAGAAAAACATCAGGGACAGTTAAAGGTCCAGGGGTTGGACTGCTGAGGACTGGGGACCGATGAATCCCCTTTCTGATTATTTGAATCTGAAGTAACGACTGGACTGATGGACACCTTGTCCTCTTTGGACAAAGTCATGCCAACAGGAAGGTGTCCATCCCAAAGAGGTCCAGTAATTTTACAGTACTGGTAAATATTTACATGTCGACTTGTTAAACAAAGTATGCAGATAAAAAAAAAAAGGTTAGTTTTAAGACGTTTAAATGTAGAGCTCTGTCTTTATTGTGCTTTATCTTGACATTTATTCTGGACAGCTGATACAGTCTTGTATCTTCAGCTCAGCATCTTCTCAGATTCTACTCTTGTCCAGTTCTGACTCTCCAGCCCAAATTAGGTTGATCATGTGACTCCAGCTTCCATGTGGTTTTCTGCTAATTCAGCTTAATATATGTGGAAAGTACTTCAGGATTACTTTTTCTTTCAGACTTTGTGATGAGTACCTTACACCCCACGGACAAACAAAAACCCACAAATTTGAACAAAACTCCAAGACCTGATTATGAAGGAATGGGCTGCCATTAAAAGTCGACTGAAAGTTTGTGACGGTCTTGAAAAGTAAAAGTTTGAAACGTCTAACAAAATAAAACAAAAACATGAAAAAACTTACTAAAGCTGTACTTTGTCATTCTCTAAACTTTCGGCCTGTGTGGTTTTTACTTCCACTGCTTGTGAGGAACCATCTAGTCTTTCATTTCAGACATTTTCAGGCAATGTCTGACATTAAATGTAGTTTTCTATTAGATGATAAAAGTGAAGTGTATATCTATAAAAGCCCACTTACTTCAACCATAGGGACGATGTAGCGCCAGCCTCTATTCAGTGCTGTGATGCTTTTCATTTCTTCTGCTTCCAGGGTGAAGTTAAACACCTGACAACAAACCAACACTTCAGTGTGAATGGAAACGTCATCTGAACCAGAACATGCATCAAATGAGCACAACTTCTCGTTTCCTGCATGGGCAGGTGTCACATTTTTTACAGCATGAGAACCTTGAATAAAAAAAAAAAGTATTAAAACAAGAAAATAAAAAAAAAAAAAAAGCTCTTATTTTGAAACAGATGTAAATCCTATTACTACTGCTGTCTAAGTATGATCACATTATATGTATATTAGTATTAAAAAAATTTCAGTGTTTCTCCTGAGTTTCTGGCCTGTGATTCAAGTTTACATTCTGCTACGAATAAGAGCAATAAATCTAATATTCAATAAATAATAATAATACCATTGAAATACATAAGTTTTATAACATGTATTATTTATTTCCAAAGTGTCCCACATTTATTGTAGTGTTTTCTTCAAGGCTTCAAAAACTTTCAGAACCTTGCGGTAAGAAAGTGTTTTGTTTTGTGTGGGTTAAGACATTTTTAAGTGATCAAACATGGTAAATAGATCGTTTTTTTAAACATTGATTTCAATACTTTTATTTATTTGCACAATTTGCTTGTATTATTACTAATTACTAAGAACATTTTTAGCAACAAGAAAGTCCATAACTTGGAATTTTTAACTAGAACAACCCTTATAAGCATAATGTTCACAAATCAAAATGTGATTAGTGATAAAACTAAAGCTGGACTCTGAAAGGGAGATTTTACTTTTACATACCTTGTTATATTCAGTACAAAAATATAGCACAGGTTGCATTTTGCACAATTCAAAATAACTTAAAATAGCTTCTTTTTTTTTTTTTTGTTACTAGGCTGATAAAAACTTCTCCCTTAAAATGACTGTTTCATTATATATATATATA